TTTATTTTTTATTTTTGATACACATATAATGTTATATAATGCAGTCCAATATTTATGATTCAATGTCAGAGTAAGCTGCATTTCCATCACCATTATTCAGTAGTATACACATTATTCATAATAATATTCTTGTATTTATTTGTGTGTACAAAACAAAATCACATTTGCTGTGTATACTGTATCATTAAAAATATTAATTATTTTGATAATAAAAACACATCTAATTTATGCAAGCGCATGTGTGACTAAATAAGCTAATAAGGTTGTCCGTCAGTTCACAAGTACAGAAAACAATGCATACAATCACTGCACATTGAGTAAAAATATTAACAACACTCAGAACTGCAGCAAACTGGAACACTACACGTAGATACTGAGTAATATTTTCTTGAAAGCAAAATATATAAATTTAGTGGTATTGCATGCATGGCACAGGTTTTTATTTCACAATTCATGATTTGAAGCTTACTATTAGGGCGGCAGTTCTATTGCATGGTATTTCCTTTTTTGAGGAACAGTTGGGTTACTGTAGAATACTTTATTTTCGCTTGGAATTTATTTTCGCTATTTTCGCTGAAGGGATGATTCCGTGAAAATAAAATCCAGCGAATATACTTTTTTTCCTATATTTCACATTAAACTTATCAAAAATCAGTGAAAATAAATTCCTAAAACGCCCAAAAAGCCTTTTCAGCGAAAATTAATTCCAGCGAAAATAAAGTATTCCACAGTAAAACAATGGATCACATGTCCTTGATTGACTCCAACTCTGCATCAAGGCACTAACAGTGATCAACTACAAGACCAAGTTCAATACTCGCCATAACAACTTATCGCTATCATGGTTTATTCACATACCTTGTGTGACTTTCAGGAATATCTGTTCGAGTGTTGACTCTGTGACTTCGTAGGAAGAAATCTCAAGCGAAAGTTGATTTCTCGACAAACCTTCAAAAAGATCAATAAACTGGGATTTTTTGGTGTTTTCTTTGGGCATGGTGTAAACCAAAACATTGTTCTTTTCGGAATGTAAAGTAGCCGACGGGATATGTTTGCGTATAAATGACGTCACCATGGTGGATGCAGAGAAAGATGCAGATAATGATGGGGATGAGGGTGTAGACGGTAACCGTGACGACAATGGATCCTCTGATGATGCACCATTAAGTTCATTGAAACCTGTGTGGTTAAAAAAGAATAATAAAATAAATATTTTTTTTTATAAAGAGCAAATTATTATCTATGATCTACATGTAGTTATACCGTATTTACTCTATAAGAAGCAATCTCTAATACAAGCACATATAAGCCAAAAATTGCATTTGCTGTATATTGAATCATTAAAATAGAACAAACAGTACTGCCCTCTATGTCAATGCACATACATTCATCCTTCCACTGAGTCAATCAAGATTTTCTGATCTAGGTACTCTTTACCCCTTTCAGCATCAAAGTCAACTTTTGTCCCCATGAACAATTGTTAAACTACATAATTTTTTTTATAATTTTTCTGAAATTTTTATCAATACTTGTAGCCAATAGGAGATTATTTCATTTTGAACCAAAATCATAAAAACATGCAAAATATGTTGCATTAAAATTTTAACTGGACAAATGTTGGCGTTCAAAGAATTAAGGAGTAAAACGTCACAAGAAAAGTGCTTCAAATTTGCTCTGAAACCAACAATAAAATCATTTTATATTTTGTCTATTGAAATGCACTTCTCTAATAGCAAATTAAGTTCAAAATTTGGTTGAAATTTTTTTGTACAGTAGATAAACATACACACTTACAGGGTCAACTTGTAAATTCCCATTGTATGGTCCATACGAAAAAATTAAAAATGTTCTCCAAAAACTAATAAATATACTAATATTTATTTGCTTGTCAGTTTTTTTTATTTGCTTGTGTGTATTTTTATTCTCATTTTATTTGTTTGTTTGTCTTTCTTCACATCTGTATTGCATTTTATTCAAATCCTAGGGATTCTTGGGATAAGAACGCAATAAAGATAATTATTATTATCATTACATGCTTTCGAGACCAACCTTTTTTAGTGACTATTAGTTTATACCCATCTCCATACATTTGTTTGAGATAATGCGGGGATCCACAACACTGCAGCTGACCACTCGATATGATAGCGATTCTATCTCCAAGAAGACTTGCTTCATCCATGTGATGTGTTGATAACAATATTGTACAATCTGCGGGTTTATTAAAAGATAATTGATTTAGTTATAGAAGAATGAGTAAACATAAACTATGGATACATGTATGTGGAAATTATAGTTACATCAAATGAATGACAAGAGAAAATAAGAAATAGGGTTACCTGTGTTTATTTTCATGAGAACAAATTTTTGTCTAAGGTAATCACTGGGACAGTAATTTTAAATTGAACAAGTCATTGAAAATCACACAGTCCCCATTGATTCTTTTCGGTGGGGGTTATGTGTGAAAGGAAACAATTTTATACAATTGCAGAAGTGCTAATACAAATTGATATGGTAAACATTTAGATTTATTGTAATTTGTCCATACCAGTTATTAACTTCTTTAAAGAAGTAATGTTATGTCTGAGAAATAGTTAACGAAAATGAAAGTATCATGGCCACCACTCGTTCATTTTGAATCAAATCACAAAGAAAACAATGTGATGGAAATGAGTGATGTGAACATGACCATAAGTTGTAAATAAAATCAGCCCTGTAATTTCTGAGAAATGATGACATGTTCAAATGTTTTTTGGTGTTTTTTTGGGGGGAGGGGGTACAAAACTAGCCACCATTCAGTCAAAGCTCAACAAAACAAAACCCAAAATATATCCTCATTTAACCTTTTCACCACCAGTTCCCTCTTTTCATCACAAAATCAAAATTTGTCCTGTTCATAGTCTGTACTATCCTTAAGAAGATTGGGACAAAAATAGCCAAATTTTTTGAGTTAAAACTGACTCAAATTGTTTCTGTTGAATTACAGTTCATTTCCAGAAACATTGAAAAATATAAGAAACAAGCAGCCTCTCGGCTGAGATAGCTCCGCTGTTAGCAATACACATTTCAATTAAAGAACAGAAGATATCATTAGAAAATAAACAATATGCATAGTATCAATGCAATGGGACTTGCCGCTTTCATCAAGAATTCAAAAATATAATTTTTAACCATAAATGATTGTGGTTTTTAACAAGAAGAAAATATCACTTTTTACCAAAAATGACAAAAATATTCACCAAAATTAGAGAATTGAAGATATGATCATGAAATGAACAAATCTGAGAGAGGTCTACCCATGGTACATATTCACCAAGTATTAAGGCTTGTAGTCTTCAAGAAGAAGTCGAAAAAGTAAAACATTGACACGGACGACGGACACCAGACGACGACGGAAAATCACTCATATGATAAGCTCCGCTCGACAAAGTCGACAGCAGAGCTAACAAGTGCAGAAAATCTTTGGGTGAGAAAGTCTGGTGGTGAAAAGACCATTCTAAGATCCTTGGGTGGTGGCTATATAAAGATTTGATTGCCGACTTTCACTGACTTTCATTTTCACCAAGATATATTTCAACAGTTCTCACTTTTCAAGAATAACAAAGATGGCTCTTCTATTTAATGAATCATCTCTTCTGTTATTTCACAAAACATTCTTACCTTGTTTATTTTTGAGTAGTAAATCCCAGATGGCTCTTCTAGCATATGGATCCACCCCTGCTGTTGGTTCATCTAGTATCACAGTCTTTGAGCCTCCTGTGAATGCAATGGCCACAGATAGTTTGCGTTTCATTCCTCCAGACAGCTGAGTGACAGTGGAATGTCTCTTATGCATCAGTCCTGTGTCTGTCAGCAACCTGTTGAAACAGAAACCATTTAGTAAATAAGAGGGTGGTTGCAAAATGTGAAGAAAATGTAGCAGAACAGAAAAGCATGCATTCTCGTTGCATTTAGAACATTGTATGTAAATGAACAAAGGGGAAAGTTGTTTCGTATTGTGGAAAACAAACTATCTTTGCCAGATTTCATTAGCAGCTATCAGAGAATACCTATGCCTAAAATCATCATCGTGGAGCAGCTGGGAGTCAAGATAAACTCTCCAGACTAACCTCAAATATCAATATTTTCTTATGCGTGAAAAATCACAAAAAACATAAAACACACTGTATCTCAGAATTACTCAATATGTATTACCCTCTTAAACCATCGCTACAATTGTTTTTTCTAGTTGAATGCATGCTTTATATAAGAGAATGTGGGAAAAAAGTTAATTTGATATTTTCAAAGAAAAAAAACTCTACTACATCCTTAAGATGAAGAATGTTATTGTTATGAAATAATATGTGAACGCCAGGGTATGTGTGAATAAAAAACTCAAACCATATGTATATTGAGAAATCATGTTGCCGCTTTCCATCATAAAGTTGATGCAAATATTGTAGAATTGGGAATCAATGACGGTATCTATGGTAATCCTTTTTTGTTTACATTATTTTTGTGCTGTGTCTCTCCCGAAGTTTTTTGTTTTTGGTATGACTCTCAAACCTAGTATCATGTGTTTGAAAAGCAGCTAAGGCAGGATATACGAACAATTTACATTCGTGAGTAAACAGTCTCCAGGAATCCAACCCCAAAACCCTGATGTGAGCCGAACATGCTTAGCACTGTACTGCTGGATGAATGAAAAAAATGTTAAAACATCCACCAACCTGTGCATAGTGATACGTAATTGAGTCAGCGAGTATCCTTTTAATTGCGAAAAAAACCATAAATGTTCTTCAACAGTCAATCTATGAAATAACAGACAATATATTGTAAATGAGTATAGTTTTAATGATGAAAACATTTGTAAAAGTTTAACGCTTTATTACACAATAAATTGTTCCTTTTGATACGTTATACTACAAACACCAAGGTTATTGACTCATTTGTCAAAAAGGGCATTATATTGCGAAAAAAACAAGATTATTGACTCACTTGTCAAAGAGGGCATTATATTGCAAACAAACAAGATTATTGACTCACTTGTCAAAGAGGGCATTATATTGCGGAAAAAAAACAAGATTATTGACTCACTTGTCAAAGAGGGCATTATATTGCAAACAAACACCAAGGTTTTGACGAATGTTGGCCATGTCTTCTATAATGTCATATCCATTAACAGTTGCAACACCAGAAGTAGGAGGTATAAAACCTGTTAATATTGACCTGAAAAATAACAATACTGACCTATATAAGAATATTGACACTATAGGGTCATAGGTTAAACTTTGTAAAATGTTATTTGGGTCGCAGGTCAAACCGGGTGCAATATAACATTGGGTCACAGGTCAAACAAAGAGCAATATAACATTTGGGTCGTGGGCCAAACAGAGAGCAATATAACATTTGGGTCACAGGTCAAACTGGACCAATACATTTATTGCATAGTTACAACCATTATGTGTATAATATTGCTATAATTGCTTGACAACATATGTACACTTACATTATTGTTGTTTTGCCAGCACCATTGTGACCTAGTAAGGCAGTGATCTGACCTTCATAAAGATTTAAATTGAGATTATTTACTGCTCGCACTTTGCCTTGTTTGTAAACCTTAGAATAAAAAAAATGTAAAACCCTGTCACTACAACTGTCAACTTTTGTAACTTCTCACAAAAAATAGTTCCAAATTTGTATTGATATTTATCAAAAAAAATTTTTAATACATTTGTAAAATTAATGTAGAATTAACAGAAAAACTTGGCAAATATCCCCATTATTGATAACTTGTGGTCCTTTGCAATCAACGATGATTCACTTCCCATAAGCTGGCATACGCAGTATTAGGTTGGCATTTTAATACACCAGCTTAAGTTCTGCAGTAAGCATGTTGATTTCTGTATTGTAGACATACATGTACACATTTAAAAACCTTCATCAAATATTCAACATGCATATTACACCAAAACACACACACAATGAAGTGCTACAAAAAATAATAACCTGCCCTCCACCCTCTTTCTGTAATGGTTGTGTAGTCCATCAACATACAGAACTAGATCAATTTACAAATTGCCTGATTACAGAGTGCAGGTAGATATATTTAAAATCATACCTTAACTATATTGTCAATATGTATACCCAATTTACAGCCAAGCGGTTCACCTTCCAATAGCACTTTACGTCCTGCATTACCTGTAATGTATGATAAAGCAAATAATTTATTGGAATGTAGATTTAATCACAATTATTTAATTTAAGTTGTATCAAAATTGACCTGCAATATGCCCAAATATATTTATTCTCTATGTAACGACATAACAGTGAAAATTATACACAATTAGCATTCTATTAGCATTCTATTAGCATTCTGTCAGCATTCTGTCAGCATTCTATTAGCATTCTATTAGCATTCTGTCAGCATTCTATTAGCATTCTATTAGCATTCTGTCAGCATTCTATTAGCATTCTGTCAGCATTCTATAAGCACTTTTTCAGCATTCTATAAGCACTTCTTCAGCATTCAATTAGCATTCTATAAGCATTCTATTAGCATTCTATAAGCACTCCTTCAATATTTAGTTAGCATTCTGTTAGCATTCTGTTAGCATTCTGTCAGCATTCTGTCAGCATTCTATTAGCATTCTATTAGCATTCTGTCAGCATTCTATTAGCATTCTATTAGCATTCTGTCAGCATTCTATAAGCACTTCTTCAGCATTTAGTTAGCATTCTGTTAGCATTCTATAAGCACTCCTTCAGCATTTAGTTAGCATTCTGTTAGAATTCTATTAACATTCTGTCAGCATTCTATTACCATTCTGTCAACATTCTATAAGCACTCCTTCAGCATTTAGTTAGCATTCAATTAGCATTCTGTCAGCATTCTAATAGCATTCTGTTAGCAT